CCCCTATTTACACAGGGTGGGCCATTTTAATCCGTACACGGTAATATCTGCTCAGGTAGAGGTGACAGCGGAAAATGCCTCAGACAAAAGTCGAGGGGGACATAAGATGGTGTCATTAATTTAACCTTGACTAGTTGCTTGAAGGTCACCTTCAATTTTTTAAATGAAACTCCCTATTGTTTATTATACTATCTTATTCTGCTAATTGATATGAACAACTTTTGCCCAAAACATTTTTTCATTTGCCTAATACTTTTTGAGATATTCAAGAGAAAATTTATAACTCTTTCAATGTTTAACTTAGGATATCTCGATAACTGTTTGTCGGAGGTAAAAGTAGTACAGGACTCTTTGAATTGATTTGGTCTCAAGAATATGCTGTTACAACAGTGTTCCAATTTTGAAAATTTTGGTGTATTGTAACACACGCAAAACATTACATGTTTCACATACAAATTTCACTCCAAGGACAATAAATTTATTAAACTTAGCAGAAACTTATCTTATATTAAGAGTCTGTCTCATAATAGGAGACTTTGCTCTACTAATTGTAAGGATATCCTGATATACTGGGAACATCCCTATCTAATATCTTCTCACTGAGAAAAATGTTCGGTTAAATATAATGGGATAATCCACTTACGCAATAATAAATTGATAGGTTCGATTAAATTGTGTATCCGACGAAAAATATGATCGGTTTTTCGATCAAATTTTATCGGAAACGCTATTTAACTGGTTTATCCGATGGAAATTTTTCTCAGTGCTACTCGCTGCGACGTTCTTCAAGTATTCTCAGAATGTGCGGTTGGGCGTCTGGTTAGCGCTATCGTGTAAAAATGATAAGAGATGTAATCCGGTCGTCCGACGATGTCCCGCGAAATTACCAAGAGGTTGTTGAAACCGATTCACTCGGTGCACGACAATCCGATACACGCCTCCGCGGTTTCAGCCCGATGGCAGGTCGAGAGGGTAAGTAGGAAACAACCCGGGAGAGAGAGAGAGAGAGGATCTGAACAGGAGATGGACGAGAAAAAAAGCAATTACGCGAGAGAGCGGCGGCGGTGTTATGGAACCGGGAGGAGAGTTCGCTCCTCTTCCCTTTACGACAGTGAAATTATTAATTACTGTTTTGTATGCCGGCACGTCGCTTTTGTAACCGTGAAGGAACGTCGTTCTGGGTCTCCTGCCTTGGCTCGGCCCTCGCCTATGGCCAGCCAGCGCGCATGCCATTTTATTGTAATTACGTGGCGCATTTGCCGCAAGGATCTCGAGATCGTTTACGTGCTTTCACGAAGGAGCGGCCGACAATAGGATCGGAACCTCTCGATATCCAAACGGGCACAAATGCACCCTCGGAAATGAATTCATGCATGAACGCAAGTCGGCTAGATCGCATATTCACATGACGTTAATGGCTGCGGTCTCGTTAATGAACTTGACAATTTTTATTCATTCAGGAAACTGAGATATTCGATATCAATTTCCGCCTAAAAATTTAAGTATAACTCGACTTCAGTTTCAAATACGAGGCTATTATATTTAAAAATCGAAATGGAAAAATTGGCGACTCATTGAAAACTAACTTTACATCGATCGAACAAGTACGTCGTGTGAAGCTTTGGCTAATAATTTTATTTGAAGAATTGGATTAGAAATTAAGATAGAATTGAGAGAAGATTCTCTCCGCGTAGCGTAAAGTGGTGTATACGTACCAGAAAACCGGATGTATTGTCGAGTAGACAGCGGAAGCGGACCGTGAAGCTACGTTCGAGCAGATGACAATGCTGGGGCGAGAGTGCGTCGAGCAACGGCAGGCTCGCACTTTCGGCAGGCAGGAAAGAATTCCACATTAATTGTCGCTGCAATTCCTCCCGGTCCTCACTGTGCACCAGTTCGTACACACTCTGGTGAACGATGTCGGACTGGAAAAAGGAGATAGATTTCGTTACTTCTCGCTATCCGTTTTCTTTTTTCAACATTTGGTCGGTTTGGCTTTTGCACTTTCTTCTAACAATCACACAGCCTCTCAAGTTAACTAACATTTTCTTCTCCTCTCCCAAGGTGGATGATAGAAATGCAGTTTTTACTATCATTGTGAATATATTTACATTATAAAAAACTCAACTAATTTATTATTCATTACCTGGATATTTTAGCAGAATAATAGCTAAAAGCTTGTGTTTTATAGTAAATTTTTTAAATACTTGGCATCACTGTGTCTATTACAATTATTTTACTATGCAATTATAGTTTCAAATACTATATACTTTTCTATCAGTGTGGAAACAGATTTGCTCTGTCCGTACGGTTTTTCGGATCGCCAAATATCACGTCGTTTTTTTATTCGCCAGCGAGACACGTCCGGGAAACCGAATCCGGCGATATATCACGATGATTTGTTGCCGACGTCGAAAATGATAAAAACAAAAAGTGAGACTCGCTTATCCACGACACGCGCAATACAGATTTTATTGCGTCCATACATAATTAATGCTCGTTTATTCGCAGTTTAGATACCGGCTATAAAACGAGTTAATAATAGTGCTCGCGTTCCCTGCCTCGCGGGCACCTGACATTCGCGTTTATCCAATCTAAGAATTCGTGCATACATTCTATCGTGTGTCACGAACGTGCGCGAACTCCGGGCCATTATTTACGATTAACTCTTCGACTACCGTTTTCCTCGCGTCAATCCCGGTCGCAATCTCGTTTACACTGCCTTTGTACCACGGGGGACCACGGGTGCGTATAAAGATTGCCGCGAGACAATCAAACTTGTCCAAACTCCAAGTGAGCCGAGACCGGTTTCCGCGTTGCCTATATTATATTTGCGAAATGTATCGAGCCGTGTTCCCGCGTCAAAGTAATCACTTCCGAGAAGTAACGACTAGATATCAATCGGCTTGGAATATATGAAGCAGCCCAGAACACTGACCGAGGAATCGCTACATTCGGAGATTATTCTTTCAAATATCGAATTTTCGGGATTTTATGAATTTTTGAAAAGACACCTTTATATAAGTAACGATAAAAATGTCATCAATAATAGAAAATTTTATTTAAACTTTTTATTAGTTACTCTTGAGGAAAAAAAACAGCAAGCACTTTACAAGAAATTGTAAAAGTGTTGTAAGAAGACTCGCAAAATTTAGAATATCTTCAATTTAATACACACACACAAGTAAATAAAAATGTATGTAAAAGTACTGTAGGTAGTGAAGAATGTTATTTAAGAGCAAACGAATTTAATTAATAAAATCTGTACGTATGACATTTTAATGCAATATATTAATTTTGTATGAGACATCCTAATCGTCCTAAAGTAAGATTTAAAATTGCGTTTTTGCAGCAACAGCAGTGGCGCAACTGTAAATTATGCCTCTAATAGAGTCTAACTATAGTCGAAATCAAGACAGCAGAGTGGCGCAGTGGAAGCGTGCTGGGCCCATAACCCAGAGGTCCGTGGATCGAAACCACGCTCTGCTAGATTTTTTTTTTCTAAAATTCTAAACAACTACGCGTAGTTTATGACTAAGTATATGTAATTATAAATATATCATTGCACATTTTAACTTTAACCAATAATTACTGAATTTTACAGACGTAAGTAATGTTTGCCACACGAGTCGAAATAAAATAATTTCTTCACCGGACAATATATTGTTGACGAGTGTCTTCGATGAAATTTTCGCAGTAACGAAACTCAAGTGTCTCGAAGCAAACGTCCGGAATGTCCTGAAAGTTCGACGGCAAGTAACGAATCGCTGCACGGAGAGAATTTTCTTTTAAAGTCGCGAGACAACGTGGCATTTTAAAGAACTTTATGAAGAGCCTTTTGAAATTTTATCACACGTTCTACTAGTAAAATGCGTGACAAAATTTTAAAAAAAACTGATGAAATTCTAGGAAATGCCACGTTGTCCCACGATTACGTGATTTTCAGGGTTAAAGTTTGAGAGAAAATTCCCTCCGTGCAGAATCCCCGGATCGCGACCAGGCGCTTCGCGCGGCGATCAATGCCGTCATACGGACTTACATAACAATTTCAAGTGGAAAAACATGAGAAGCGGCACGATCGATTCTCCCTCTCGCCCCTCTCTCATCCTTGCTGCACTGTCGCAACTTCTCGCTTATGACCAGCAACAGCCAGCAGCAGCAACGGACGCGAGGGGGAGCGCGGCTGAAACATGGAAGTCGTGAGATCGCGGCGCCGCTGATATACCTAGGCACGAACGTACGTAGGCAGGTATAATACACGCGCTCTCCGGCCATGTAACGCGGGAGAGATACACGCGGGGCCCGGGCGCGGAAACGGCCCAGTGTTAGAAACGTGGCTCCCGGTAGCCGAGGGAAGTAGTCGCCTCGGTATCGCGCTCCTTACCCGCGTGATTTATTATATTATTCGCGGGCGAGCGCCGCGCGGGCACCCAGGCTGACAGCCGTGACCAGGTAATGGCCGATGGAGAGTCAATTCGATCTGTTCGAGGGCCCCCGGCCCCGGAGCGGAACCCGCGGGCCAAGGGGTACAGCGGATGCGTGTGCACCGGCGTCGATTATCGGATTAAAAGTCACGCGCGTTGCGCCTATTCCGCTCGCTTGATCCCCGTCTGGGATCGCTCCCCTCGGTCCTGGTGCACCAAGTAGGTGTATCTTTGAACACCTATATCCGCGCGTCATGTAAGAGCGCCCTTCGCGGCGAGAGCGATTTGCCTTGTGGCTCGCCTATTCCCCGGCACCTGGTTTAATTTTATAATACAGAGGGGAGTCCCATAGTATGAGATAGCGGGGGTTTCTGTTAAGTTAAGGGGATGCTGGAGCGATTTTGCACTTTCGCACCTTTTGCACTTAAAACTTTTGCACTTAAAACAACACACATACTACATGTACTGTATGTATGTGTCGCTCACTCATTATTTCTTATTAGACTTACAAACTTAGTTTCAGTGATGCCATATTGTTCTTTCACTTGGCCGGAATAGCGAGCTGCTTTCGATCTGTACACGTAAGCCATTTAATTTGTATATTACACAAATGTTTCCGCGAACTGACAGTTTTTAGGTTAGAAAGGTGCAAAAGTGCAAAATCACTCCAGCATCCCCTTAATAGCGTCTCTTGGTTCCACCGTGAATTGAAGTGAAATCTGTTAGTGGAAACTTCATTGTTAGATCGTGTAATCGTCGCGTAAAAAGAATTTAGACGTTGAAAACCCGTTATCTAACATTAAAAGCCTGTCACATAATAAGGGACTTTCCGCTGTTTGTTACATTTTTGCTATAAATTCTTTGTAATTTATTCCTGAAAGACGCTCCACCAGAAATCTCAGTAAATTGATTATCAATTTAACTTGGTATGCTATTTCGACTTCAACTGAAGAAAGTCATCGCAGCAATTCCTGTGTTGAAAACAGACGTGTACGCAGAAATATTAGGCACTGAGATTCAGCGCCTGTCGTATAAGGCGTTGTCATTATTTGTCGTTACTTATGTGCACTTATTAATATTTAAAATAAATCGTTTGGTTTTCGCAAATGATATTTGCATCATTTAATATTTCTAATAAGTTTAAGGTATAAATTAATTTATTTAACAGAAACAAATACATTTTATACATTTAACTTATTACAAAAATTAAATGGTAAAAATGTCAATTGCAAAAAAAATTTATTTATTTATATAAATATATAAATTATGTTTATATTACGTTATATATGAAGTGATTTGTAGTTTATGTTAAATAACATTTTAGATTCGCTTGTCTCACACTCTGTGTCCTATATGTTTGGAGAGGCGCGCCATCTTGCTCGTAGCTATAACGTCATTATTATTTATATTATCTCTCCGAGTGTTATATTGTTCTCGTCTTAAAATTAACGCTGACGAGCAAAGGGGAAGCGGCGCAACACCGAGCGCATGCCCCATCAATTTCTTCGAGATCCGCTGGAGCCGCGCGGCGTAGAAAATTGTGTTCCTCCCGTGCACGGACTCATTGCTCTCTCGCCGGGGACTAGTCCCGGATTAATTATGCGCGATAAAGTGCGTCGGACACGTGTAGCTACATGTGCCGTACGCGAGCTTGTGTCGCGGTGCGCGACGTCACGGCCGATCAGATATTTTCTGAAATAATGCCGCTCGCCTCGCCGTACATCCCACGTCCGAGGATGTCCCTCTTCCCGTTTTTGCCCACGTGTCATTCTCGGCGCTCGTTGCATTCGGTTTATACCTTGCCGGGTCGATACGGAGAAAATTATGGATCTAGGATCTGCCGTCCGTAATATATCACCGTAATGGACGATATATCAACCCGGACGGATTCGTGCAGTGCCACTGAAATTACTGCAATAACGTAATAATTGTAATTTAATTGCTACAACGAATGCCCTGTCGTGCTTTTCACTCGCGAGGATATTCCGAAGGTTACGACGTGGAGAGAGGTGGGAGACTGCACTTCGAAGCAACGCGAATAGGGAGAACACGTCCTTTATGTGATAGATCTTCGTTTGCTTCGAACGTATTTTTATCCCGAATATTTGTTCTCTTCCGTCGAGAAACTCGGCTGTTTTATATGGAAAATTATGACGCGGTCGACCATTTGGGGTGCCTTTCGTCTCTGAGATGAAAGGACTCGACACGCCGTGACAATTCGAAGTAAACGAGATAATGTACATTAATATCATTGTCTTATCCGCAAGTTTATTAAGTCAACTATGCGCTAGACCTTTTAGAATTTAAGCCAACGGCATGCATAATATACAAGTATGTTTTCTCGAAGCCCGTTGTGCTTCATTTTTCTTTTAAATTCATAGTAAATGAAGATTTGCAATTTAAAAATATACATTTGTATACACCAACTATTGAGGTAAAATCTCTAATCTTAGTAGTTAGAATTTAAGTAACAATGATTTTTGCTCCGATACATCTTCTTG